AGGGGATCAATGTTGATTTACAAAAAGAAAAGCGTTTCTGCCAGGGGAATTTAATGCCATCAAATTGAATCTGCAATCCATGATGCATCGAGTTCAGAGATTGTACAGCTCAGGTAGGCAGAGATTACATTGGTTTTTTGTTGTTGCAGTATTTCAACAAAGTCTAAATACTCAGCATTTAAACTGCTTATGAAGAGTGAATAAATCCCTGAGCTAATTGTGAAGAGTGAGACAGACCTACATTTGTTTTTATTTACACATGTAGATGTATTCTTTGTGAAATGCACCAGCAATGCAAGGATGAGACACTCCACAATCCTCATTTTTCAGCCGAAATCGGTATCGGCCGATACCCATCGTCGATCCGATCGAGTGGGCGAGGCCTATGGGGGTCTTCCATTTAAAGTGATGTTTAAAACTCAGTTAATGGGGCTCATTCACTGGCGCTTCCACAAACAACAATGGACAACAACAAACATAATTATTACATTCAAATGATGTACATTATTCAAGTTTACATTAACTTTGGAGAATATCACGGGAGAAATGAGCAGAAGCGCTCTCTTTTCCCCTCTCCCACTCTCTCTCCCCCTCTCTCCCTCTCCTGAAAGCCTGTCAGTATCTCATGTAGCTCACTAATCCAGTAATGAGTGACACGACAGTGAAGAATAAATATATATATAACTAGTTTAGCTTGTTCCAGAGGTAGATAAAATAGCTAAGTGTGTGTTTCGCTCCGCTCACCGGTCCGTCACAGCGGGTGGAGCTGCAGGATTTCTGCTTCACACACATTGCATACCGCTATTTTATTGTCATTTTCGGACACCTTAAAATACTGCCAGACTGGTGAAGCCATTTTGGCGAGCTTGTTTTTTGCCGCGCACTGAGAAAAGTGTCATGTATTTTACGTCATGCGATCAGCTCTCGCGATCGGAATTTTTAGAGAGTACCGATCGATCGGCAGACAGTGAGTATCGGCCGATATCGATCGACTGCCGATCGATCGGAGCATCCCTATTAAGAATGAATTTCCACCTACAGCGCATCAACAAAAACCATGTTGCAGTCATTGAAGGTTTCTCATTTCTCTAATTTCTCCTCCTCGAATCCTCGGTCCTTCAGTAGTGATCCTCCGGGGATGTATTTACGGCAACAGTGATCTTTAAAAGAGTTGTGACGCACGGCCGGACTTATCTCAGGGGGGGGTATATCCAGTCTCTGAGTGCTCTCATACTTGTTTGATTCTGAAATTGTGTATGTGTGTGTGTATATTTATGTCTGTAGCCTGTTATTGTCTCATTATACCGCACTGTGAATGAATTAAAAGTAAATATATAAGTCATCATGAACACATCTGTCCATCAGACAGAGGGCTGCTGTGCCTCCTGTCATCATTAACGGACGTCTCTTTAAAATGACCGCTCAGAGGAGAGGAGTTCTCATTTCTCTAAACGCCTGCTGCTTCCCCTCCTCTCTCCTCGGCTCCCCTCCTCGACTCCTCCGCTCGCATCTCCTGTGGGCGGGACTAAGACAAGAGGATAGGAGTTGAGGAGGGGAATTAGAGAAATGAGAAACCTTGTCTTTGTTTAGTTTGGCTGGGGAGCTAGTTCCTCTTTCCTTCAGAATGTGATATGAATGTCCCTTTATAGATTGTGAGAGCTTGAACTGTTACTCCCTGCTAGTTGGCGATTAGGGATCCCAAAAACGCACACAAACATCCTCTTCCCACCCCACCACGAGGGCCAACACAACAACTCCCTTTTACCTTGATACAAATCGAGCTTCCCTCTGAACCCGCATGTACAAGGCCAGAGAACAAATGCAATTCTCACGGTGTTCAAATTCAATTAGCCATAGTGGTGAACTTTGTTGTGATGAAATTCCACTGTGAAATAAACACAGATGGGGAGATTATGATCTACTCAGAAATAAATGACTTCTGTCCCAGGAAATTGAATTCCAAATATGGCGTATTTCATGCTGCATGCCACTGTGATGCAATTTAGATAAGTTCTCCGGGGGGTGACTGTTGATATTTAAACATTCAGGTAATGAGCCTTATAAATTAATCTGTTTGACAAATAATAGAAAGACAATACATCTGCAATCCAAGGCAAAACATTTTACCTTTCTAAACGGTAATTACCAAAACAATTTCCATACTGTACACACTGGAATGTCCAGATGCCATGGGAATTGTAAGTGCTCTGCATGTGTGTGTGTGCAAGAGGGGAGGGCTATGTCGGAACAGGAAAAGCACTGATGCACAACAACAAACAAACAAGGGCCAAGCATCGGTAATGAAGTCCTCATTAGTCCTTGTTAAGCACAGGACCGCAGCGGAGCGGCAGACAGCGCTGCCATTTCGGACTGACCAGGGCCAGAGCCTGGAGCGGGCATAGACCCCTGCTCCCTGGCTGCAGGAGTGGGCGTTTACCCCAGAAACCCTCTGTGCTTCCACCTCGGTTGGCAGGTACAGGGTGATGAGTGTTCTGGATCACTTTTGTAGAGCGGGAAGAGGAGGAGGAGTGCCTTTTGGCCAAGGGCTACAGGCCTGGTATACAGAGTTTGGCTCTTGGATGTGCAGCAAATGTGCGTTGTCAAAGAGTTGCGTGAGGCATGCGGCGTGGCCTTTCATGTTGTTTCAGGGAATCAGGACAGGTGGCTGGACCAAAGACAGAAAAAATGCTCACACGCAATATGGAGTTTGTATAGAAAGACAGAAACAGTTGGAGATAGTGATGTGAGAAGTGAAAACAACGGTTAAACATAAACCAAAAGATATCAGATAGGAAGATTAGCGCACAGCACCAGATGGAGGTAAACCAGAAAAGGACACACAACACAGGAGGCCAAAAAGAGATTAGGTGAAGCAGAAAGTGATGGCCGCTGAAAGGAGTCAAGTAGGAGACGGAACAAAGGCTGATTGGTTCTTTTATTTCCCACTCCCCTCAGGCACGCCAAGTCTCATTTACCAGCTCTGTGACTGCATACACCTGACCGAACACATCAGGATAACGTCCAATGGGCAAGTTGCACGCACACACTGCACACACATACCTGGCCCTACTACACCCATGCTTTGCTCATAGCTGGCTACATCTTGGAGGGAAAAACTCAACTCTTTGGCACGTTTAACTAGAGGCCTAAGGGCAACACTAAAATCCTGATTAACTTTTAAGTGTAGGTTATGCTAAATGTTCTCATATTAGTTTAAATACATTGACATGGTGCATAGAAGGGAGAACAATTTGAGATATTTGCAAAAGGACAATACAAATCCAGGCGACGCATTGATTTGACAATCCAATGAAAAACAAGCAGTTCGATCAACTCTGATTATCTCCAAAGCAACAGGACACTCCCTTTCAGCACATAAAAACCGACTGGGGATTCAAACAAATCGATCTTTGGGGCCTCACCCACAGAGCCACCTTGTACAGGGTAAGTTCTTGGCAGCAGTTGCATTTGAACAACAGAGCCTCAGTACCTGGGAAACCAGATAACAACGGCGGTTAAAAGCCCTCGGTCGCTCTGGCTGTGTCAACAATGCTCCCCCCCTTTTTGCTGCCTGGGCACACACTTGTACGCACATGCTCAGACGCACCCACACACACAAATGTAAGCATGAAAAACCATGCACTTATTCATGCACGAAGCATACTCGGAGACCATGCGTAGATTGTGTTTTATTCGGTTCAGTGGAAATGCATCCGTCAAACACAATATGGAACTGCTTTCATCTTGCATGGCAACCACATGATAATTATGCAAATCGTGAATCCAGGCTGGAGACACAGAGTTAAAAGGAACACACCCTCCAAATGATAATTACTTTGGATTTGTGAAGCAAACTGTCGTAAGTGTAAAAAGAATCCAAAACTGAAGAAAACGCTTGATGAACTTAAGCCACATAAAAAAACCAATGTTTGAATAATTAATTTCCTGTGCAGGTAAAAGGAGAAAGACAGGTTTTACGCAAGGTAATGCAAGGTGAGTAATTGATATGCAATGGGTCATATTAGGTTTCAACTATTTTTATGTCTCGGTTTAAGTTAGAGATGGGTTATGCAAGAATACTTTCAGCTGGTTATTCCCTGGGAATATCGGGAAGTTTATCCATTTTTAAGTGCCAGTATAGAGTTGTACCCTCACAGGTGTGATATGGCAGTTAAAGTGGAAAATCCATGCAAAAGCCATATGTCTCTCTGAATTATGACTGTGGGGTGTAAACAGATCTAGTCAAAGTCAGTGTCTGAGTCCTCCTCTATTATCCTCTACAGCTCCATTCCCAGACACACCCTTCTACTGGCACACACATAGAGGAAGAGGGGGGGAAGAGCCACATGCACATGTAACTCTTAACTTACATTCACAACCATTATCATATCAGTCTTTTTACACTTTTTAATTGTGTTGTGTAAAGGTGCGCTTGAAATGTACTTCCAGAGTCGGGAAAAAAATAAACCTCTCTCCACATGTGTGAAATGAGCTCTACAGGTTGCCTAAGTCTGGTTCAACAAGTTTTTAAGTGTTGAAAATGTAAAACAGTTATGTTCAGCTACACTGTGTCACATGTTTGTGCCAACTAGGCACACAATAAATGTGCGCACATCCGAACACACCCAATTCTGCAGTCAAATGTGTATGCAAATATGACATACACACACAGAAACACACACTAAAATGAACCCCCATGATGCAAATATATATCATTGAAAAAATAAGGCATGGATAAACGTGCAACAGGTAGGGGATGTCCAACTACAAAATGCCGACTCATACTTTTCCCATTATGCTTTTCTTTCATTAGAAGCTATCAAGTTGCGTACTAAATTTGCAACAAAAGCTTTTATTATCTACACATACTATGCCTCAATACAGCTAGCACCCCCACCCCTTCCATTGAAAGATTAGACACTCAAAAGTAGGAAGACTCACCTTTTATCAGTGGAGTACCGCTATAAGATTCCACAATTTGAAACATTGAGTGCTACTGCTTAATTTCTCTTCCTTTCACCATGTTTTCTCACCTGGGTGATGAGCACTTTAAAGTGGTTCCTCCTCAGCAGGTGGCTGTGGTTGGCCTCCAACTTCTTCACCTGCACCGCCTGTTTGTCCATGCGCTCCCTCACATCCTTCAGGTGCCCGCTCACTTTGCGCGAGCGCTCGAGCAGCTTGCTGACGCTGTTGGAGGTGTTCAGGTGGGTCTTGGAGAGGCGGGTCACGTCGCCCTGCACGACCCGCACGGCGCCCTCCAGGTCGGCCTGCCGCTGCTCCATGCGCTGCTGGTTCTCCTGCACCGCCTCCAGCATGTTCACAAGCTTGTCGAGCAGCGCCACCACGGTGATAGCACTCACCTGGCCGCCGGCTACGGGGCTGCCCGGCACGGCCGCGGAGGGACTGGTGGGCATTTTGAAGCCCAGCCGGGAGAGAGTCCCGGTCGGGGTCGGGGAGGACGGGGCAGAAGATAGGCTATGGCTCGGGATGAGGATCTCCATGTTTTCGGCCTGCTGCTGCGGGATGGTGTGTGTGCTGCCGGTGATGCTGCTGCCCTCGGCGTGGGACCCGTTTTCTGCCATGGTTCACAGGTGGTCAAATGTCCCGCTTTACAGGGGTAATTCACCTAAGAGTTTAGCAGGAGTTTGATTCTCTTAGTGCTGCTGTCACTTGCCCCAGCTGAGAACTGGAGGCTGGGTGATTTACTTCTTGGAGTTAATTCGACGTCCACGCCCCTTTCTATCTTTTTCGTTACACACACACACACACACACACACACACACACACACACACACACACACACACACACACACACACACACACACACACACACACACACACACACACACACACACACACACACACACACACACACACACGCTGTGAACTTTCAAAACACCTCCCCTACAAACCAAGGGAGGGGCATGGTTGCTATGGGAACCGTGCAGGCCAAGCCCTATTGACAGAAAAGAGGTAGAGTTGGTGTGTGTCCTTCCTTGTATGCTGCTAGTCTGCTTTGTTTTTTCATGTGACTGCCAACAATTCCACTTTGTGCAAGCCTCGCTGCATTTGCAAAATATGCGTGAAGGTTACTTTTGTTTACTGCACTCACTGGTGTGCTGTTGTAGCCTACTGCAGCCTACCAAATTGGACGGGATTGCATTGTATCAAGGTGCATTGGCGTGTGTGTGTGACCCACACAAACAATAACGTGAAGATAAAAGTACAATGCAAATCAGAAAGGCAGTGTTTCTACAGCTGCGTGTTTCCACTCACATGCTGTAGATAAATCCTGGAACATATTGTCTTTATTTCAAAGTCTATGTATGTGTCCCTATGCCCATGGATGTGTTACAGATTGGGCTTACTGTGCATAGGCTCAGGGGCCCAAAGTGTCAGGATGCTCCTGGCCTTCACTTGCAGTAATGCCACTCAAAGAGACATGTACCAAACAGGAAGAGACTTAAAATAAGCACAAATAAATATAACAATACAAAGACATACAAAAGACTACAACAGTTCCAAAATGACTTCAACACTACACTTTTGCATGTCTGTGGCCAGGGGGGCATTGTCTCCTTATGCGCCCATGACTTTTCCTATGCTTATATTAGTGTATTGTTGGGTGTGTGTGTGTGCCCTATGATCATCCCTTTCCTCTCCCCTCTTGTTTTCAAGCTCTGTGACATGGAATGGAACACACTGACATGGAAATGTGGAAATCCCTGTTTCAACAATGAGCTCATCCGTGCCCTGGCATGATGCCCTGCATGGCCTCTCTCTCAATCCTTCTCTTTGTCACTATCAATGTAGATATTTAATTCACAGTAACACAGCCGCTCTTTCAATTCAACTTGTTTTGAAATCAAATAACTATGTGGTATGTGTCAGTGTGTTGCAACAAGTGTTGGTGTCTGTGCGTTTTCATAAAGTGAGGGAAGAGTGTGAGCTTAGGTGTGGAAACCTACTGCATTAGAACTATGACAAGGATCTATTTGATCACTGCAGACTATGGGAGGAATCCAAGCCCACACCTGAGTTTTATTGGATTCTGTCTGATAAAGCAGAGGCTTGGTCAGCTATCATCAAACCTAAGATCAATACAGAGTATTTACACCCTTAGACTGCGATTAAATTTTCTGCTACTGCTTGTATTTACACACTGAAAAGACACACCTAAGAACTGTGTTCAACTATTTTGGCAAAGTCCAAGTCCTCAGATTGAAACCACAATGAAAAAAAAAGCATTTACTTTTAAAATTGCCTTATTTCACTGTTACTAATTTCAATGAGTTTTGAAGAAAAAATATTTGAGAAATGCATTTACAGTGGGGCAAAAAAGTATTTAGTCAGCCACCAAGTGCAAGTTCTCCCACTTAAAAAGATGAGAGAGGCCTGTAATGTTCATCCTTGGTATACCTCAACAGTGAGAGACAAAATGAGAAAAAAAAATCCAGAAAATCACATTGTCTGATTTTTAAAGAATTTATTTGCAAATTATGGTGGAAAATAAGTATTTGGTCACCTACAAACAAACAAGATTTCTGGCTCTCACAGACCTGTAACTTCTTCTTTAAGAACCTCCTCTGTCCTCCACTTGTTAACTGTATGAATGGCAACTGTTTGAACTCGTTATCAGTATAAAAGACACCTGTCCACAACCTCAAACAGTCACACTCCAAACTCCACTATGGCCAAGACCAAAGAGCTGTCAAAGGACACCAGAAACAAAATTGTAGACCTGCACCAGGCTGGGAAGACTGAATATGCAATAGGTAAGCAACTTGGTGTGAAGAAATCAACTGTGGGAGCAATTATAAGAAAATGGAAGACATACAAGACCACTGATAATCTCCCTCAATCTGGGGCCCCACCATGCCCGGCGCCGTGGGAGGGCCAGGCCCTCCCATTTGACATTCCTGCCCTCCCCCAATAAACACGTTTTTTATTATTTATAACATTTAAGAAAAAATGTTTTAAATGTTTTTAATTATAAATAAACGGTGAACTTTTATGCTACGATGTATGTGATGTCAGATAGTAACTAAAAACAAATTGCAGGCTACGTCAAATCAATTCATGTGTCTGTTGTGATTTGTGATTCGTCCACATTTAGACCAATCACAGCGTCACACTCTGCCGCCTATTCTGGATTTGTTTATTGTTTATTGTGCATTCTGTAGACTCCCATTTCTGTTTGAATTACAAAATTGACATCAGAAATTGGCTTAAAAGGTCTAAGGATTTATTGAAACGAAATAGC